TGGTCCACTAGTTCTAGATTGACAGCTCCTCCTCTAGCCAATCAGCTGAAGAGGGGCGGTGACGTCACTCCAACGCGCCTCATTAGCTGCCGATGCTCAGTGTTCTGTTCACTTGTACAGGTGAAAATGGACAGCTGTCAGCTGGAAAACATCTTTCCATACAGGACACTGTTATATGTGTCTGCCTGTCACTGCTGTATGCCTGCCTGGCGATATGTCCATCCTCTGCAAGGGCCCCCAGGCCTTCTCCTCCTCAATCTTCTGTGAGGACACGTCTATGGCCTTTGTGAGGACCACCACACCTGCTCCATTCTCCACCTATGTATTGGACAGGCTGTGGTGTATATTAGTTCAACCATTAATTAAACAATAAACAAATTGTCTTCCAAACGGGGAGCCTAGATGAGCCTGGCCAGCCCCTGCTAGGGCCTCGGCTTCATTCTGGTTGCCAGGTGAATGGAGCAAGACCATCCCTGTGCAGGACCAGAGGTGGACTGCCAAGAGCGTATTTCACTCTGGCAAGCTGTGCCCCGATTTTAAGCTTTGGTATGAGCCCCGTCCCAACCCTCAGTAACCACCAGATACCAACAACTGGTTCTTCACCCATCGGTTGATGGTACGGATGTCCTACCACCTTTGGAAGTGAGGGTGTCCACTCCAGTTTCTAACAAGAACTTGATGGGCTATGGCATCCAGAAGAGGGCACGGAGGGTCCTGGACATCAACAGATATTATCTGATGGTGACAGAGACGCTCAGTTGCATTGTGTGATCTCTAAACTATCTAGCTGCTGTACATGTGTGACTGATATTACTTTTTTCAGGTTCTGTGCCATTCACCAGAGTCCCAAGAAGAAGAGGACTGGTACACTGTTCAGATGGGATCTCATCCTGGAGGACTACAGGAAAATTGAAACGATTGCACCTATTTCTTGTGGTGTGCTCCAGGGTTCCTTTCTTGGTCCGCAAAGAAGACAGGAGAGGTCAAATAGGCATTTGAAAATGAGACACAGCTGAGAACCATAATCTAATAGGCAATCAGCATTCTTATGGAAATGTCAACTTCCACACTCCCAACACAGAAAGACAAGGTGTAAATAAATACATGTACAATACATTACAATAAATCCACAAGAGAAGATAGACAGACACCACAGCATCGTGACTCAGACGACACTCAGCACTAACCCCACTGCTCCCATCCCCACCTATTCTATATCTACATGAGTTGATGATATCAATGCTCAAATGTCCTATAGCTTCCGTAACAATGACCAAAAGCTGCTGGGTGGTAACCTCTCTGTTCAATTGGTTAATACTGCTGGTGTTTTAGGCCTTCCAGTGCTATCAGAAATCTTGGTATGATTTTCAATCTTTCTCTCACCTTTTATTTTTCACATTGACTAACTTATCAAAGCAGCCTGCTTATACCTTCGTAACATTGCTTGCCTTCATCCTACTCTAAATATCAAAGGTGCAGAAATTCTTGTACACACTTTATCACCTACCCAACTAGACTACTGAATCTCTCTTTATTATGGCCTGCCCATCAAGAGGATGAATAATATTGGGTACATTCTTAACTCAGCTACTCAAGTTCTTATGGGTTTGGATCGTCATAAGAGTAAATAACGACAAAATTTTAATTTTTTAATACATTTAGCCCTGTGATGGACTGGCCATTTATCCATGGTGTTTCCCTGCCTTCGGCCCGAGATATGGGATCGGCTCCAGCAGCCCGCAAGCCTACAAGCAGTGTGGAGAATGAACTAATTCTTTAAAATACTTTCTCTAATATATACATGTAATTTACATGTGCGTACATGTACATACAGGCTACTGGAAGCACAACAAAAAATAAACTGTGCTGATAAACAAAAAATAAATAAATAAAATAAAAATTCAGACATGCGCATAACTAGAATAATATTTCCATGCTTTTCCTGATCATAAATTTAAAGTTGCCTGGTATTTCCAGAGTTCCACAATCAGTAAACTTATCCAGATATTACAACATTCAATTGAAATCGACAAAACAATATTGGAATCTATGGGAAAAGGTCATTTTGTTCGGTTTATGTCTATTTATTTGTAATCTTCCAGTTACATTGTTGCTTTTCCCAGCAAAAAAGGTAGAAGTTTGACATATTTTGATTCAAAGGAAATCAACACATGGAATTGAGTGACACAACTCAAAATTTGAGAGAATCTACTGTAACTCTTCAATATTTGAAACTACAGCAAAGATAATGATCAGGTATGGCCACAGGAGTACAAATGCACAAAATGAAGTTCCAAACGTAGGTTCGGGAGGAGCCTAATCATTCAAACCTGTCAATCATCATTACAAACCTATATAAGCAGCACTCATTGGCAGAGGTGGGGGACTCGAGTCACATGACTTGACTCGAGTCTGACTCGAGTCGCAAATTTAAGGACTTGTGACTTGCTTGACTAAATAAAGAAAATGACTTGACTTGGACTTGAGATCCAGTGACTTGAGACTTGACTTGATTTGACCTTCATGACTCGGCAGGACTTGACTTTATAACAACTCTAATGGACCGCCCCAGCGTCAATTCTTCCGGCATCCCTCCACCTCCCCCTTCTCCTCCTCTATTTCTGTTATTCTCCCTCTAGGTAGTACCCCAATGGGGGAGTTGAACTCGGAGCTCAAGCTGAGCCTCGGGTTCGAGCCTCCATTGGGGACAGCAAGCCAAGTTTGTTTACCATTAACCATCAGGACTGGATGGGCAGGCGAACTCGTGAAAGAAATTAAAAAGCCTTATGGTGAAGCATAAAGAGATGAAGGATGCAATTAAAAGAAGGATTCATGAAGGTGATAATCAGATGTAGCCTGCATTTAGCTGCAGTGTGAACATAGCCTTGATTTCACAGCATTTTTATTTCTTGTCATACTCTTCAACAAAAAACTGGGTCTCACATTTGCATGACTTTTCAGTGTGATGGCAAATTATTATTATATTATTACACTGACTACAATTGAATTGTCTTCCAGATTGAATGCACAGATGATTGTAGAAACCGCTCCTTTTTCTAAACCTCGTCATTCTGAGGAAAACTGCAATTTCTTCTCAGAATGCGTTCGCAAATGGCGTCTCATGCTGCTTTGACAAGTGAAACTCTTCTCGCACTGAAAACACTTGTGAGGCTTCTCTCCAGTGTGAACTACCTTGTGAATCTTGAGGCTTCGTTCTCTTGTGAAACTCTTTCCACAGAGATGGCACATGAAAGGCTTTTCTCCGATGTGAGTTATTACATGATCCTGAAGGTGATTTGTGTCTGTGAAACTCCTTTCGCACTGATGACATTTAAAACAGTTTTCTCTTGAGTGAATCTTCATGTGATTAATAAGGTTTACATTATATCTGAAACTCTGTCCACACTGATCACATGTGAATGGATTCTCTCCAGTGTGAATTCTAATGTGAGTCTTTAGGTTTGCTTTATCTGTGAAACTCTTTTCACACTGAGGGCAGGTGAAAGACTTGTCTCCAGTGTGAACTCTCATGTGGGCGTCAAGGAGTTTTTTCTGTGTAAAACTCTTTACACACTGTTGACATACAAATGGCTTCTCTCCAGTGTGAATGCTCATGTGAGTCTGAAGGTTTCCTTTTAATCGGAAACTCTTTCCACACCGAGGGCAGGTGTAAGGTTTCTCTCCAGTGTGAATTACCATGTGGGCATCAAGGGTTCTTTTCTGTGTAAAACACTTTCCACACTGAAAGCATATTAATGGATTCTTTTCCATGTGAATAATCATGTGAGTCTTAAGATATCTATTTAGTGTGAAACTCTTCTCACACAGTTTGCAGGTGAAAGGCTTCTCTCCTGTGTGACTTCTCATGTGGGCATTAAGGTGACTATTTTGTGTAAAACTCTTTCCACACTGATTACACATGTAAGGTTTCTCTCCAGTGTGAATTATCATGTGAGTCTTAAGTTCTGCATTTAGTGTGAAACTCTTCTCACACAGTTTGCAGGTGAAAGGCTTCTCTCCAGTGTGAATTCTCATGTGGGCATTAAGGTGACTATTTTGTGTAAAACTCTTTCCACAGTGATTACATATGTAGGGTTTCTCTCCAGTGTGAACTCTCATGTGAGTCTTAAGATCTCTATTTCGTGTGAAACTCTTCCCACACAGTGTACAGGTGTAAGGTCTCTCTCCAGAGTGAATGATCATGTGGGCATTAAGGTGACATTTCTGTGTAAAACTCTTTCCACACTGAGGGCATATGAATGGTTTCTTTTTAGTGTGAATTTTCATGTGGAATTTAAGGCTTTCTTTTCGATTGAAAATTTCTCCACACTGTTGGCAGGTGTAAGAGCTCTCTCCAGTATGAACTCTTAGGTGTGAATTAAGGTTTGTAGTTTGTGTTTTTTTAGCTTTTGGTGAGGAAGTCTTTTCAGTCTGTGAGCAACTAATCGATTCTTCAGTTTTGAAATCATGATGTTTCTCATTTTGATCTTTGTCTTTCTTTTCATTCAGTTCTTGACTCTCCTCTTTCAGTGCCATCAGGTCTGAGGTGAATAAATAAAAAATAAAAAAAGTTAACACCAGTTTATTGGCACAAAGCAACAGACATCAAAACATTTAGACTAGTGCTGTCAATCAATAAAAAAAAATAACTATGTGACTAAACAATTTCACAATGAATCTCCAAATTAATGTAAAACAACAAAGATTGTGTATTTAAAATATGTGGTTTAATGGCATCTTTTACCAAGTAGCCTATTGTTAATGGAGACCAGTCTCATTGATACAAATACTGCTACTGATCTGTCTCTATTAAATGCATTTTCCTCCCAATTTAAGCTATTAATTATAGCCATTATTACTGTATAATCAAAAACCGTTATGTGTAACATTTCATAGGCTTTGAAAAATATTGAAATTAAAAATCTTCACAAATTGTATATGCATAAAACTATTAATTGAATATAAATTAATCTTTATTAAACAAAAGTCAATCAGAGCGGTGAGTGATTTCTTTTTCTTTTGCTCTTTGATTGACATCAATGTCACAGACCGCAGCAGGTTTCATTTTAAAAGAAGTACTGTCTCTTTAAAACCTGAGCACATAAAACAGATCTGACACACATCCGCTTTTCTCCCAACACTTTACCATCATTTAGGACTTTTTAACTAATTTAAGACTGTGATTACGAGGTCACTATTGGCACGCTGTCTGAAGCGGCTATCTGTGCGTGACGGATGTTGGATGTTCACAGGAGCTGCTTCACAGACAGTGCACCAGTACCGAATTAACTTCTCTGTTGCGTCTTAATATGCTTAATAGCGTGTTCATATAGTCTATTGTAACACCAGCCAAAGGATGCCAGGAAAAAATGGTGTTGCATTAATTGCCATAATAAGCTAAATTGCGTTAATTGCCTTCTGTAGCGCATCCTACATGTGGTGTTCCCCAGGGATCAATCTTGGCACCGATATTGTTTTCACTGTATATGTTACCCATGGGATCTATATTTAGGAGATTTGGTGTATCATATCATTGCTACACTGACGATACTCAGCTCTACATACCACTTAAACATGATGATAATTCTGCTGTAAATCAATTAACTGCCTGTCTCCTTGAATTGAAAACGTGGCTTACAAAACTTTCTACATCTAAATAATGATGAAACAAGTTGTTTTGTTCGGATCAAATGGCAAAACTGACTTCAGCACAATCGATTTGGGCTCTCTCACCCCATATAAAGTCCACGATGCTAAAAATCTGGGTTTTATACTTGACTGTGAACTAAAGCTAGATAAACAAATTAATGCCACTGTGAGCTCCGGCTTCTACCATATTCGTAGATTAGCGAAGGTTAAACCCTTCCTGAGCAGGAAGAGTTTTGAGACTGTAATACATGCTTTCATCTCTTCGTGACTCGATTATTGTAACTCACTTTACTATGGCTTGCCGGTCTCATCTATTCATCGACTTCAGTTGGTTCAAAATGCGGCGTCGCACATGGATACATATTACACCTATCTAACACTCGCTGCACTGATTACCGTTGCAGTACTGTATTGAGTTTAAAATTTTACTTTTTGTGTACAAGGCTTTAAATTGTCTTGCTCCTCAATATCTTTCAGAGTTGCTTACTGTCCACAATCCTGTCAAATCACTCAGATCTCAGACTACACATATGTTGTGGGTTCCCAGAACTAGACTAAAATGTAGGGGAGAGCCTTCTCTGTTGCTGGTCCCAAATTATGGAACACACTGCCTCTATCTATCAGAACTGCTTCTACAGTGTCTGAATTTAAATGTCTGTTAAAAACTCATCTTTTCTCCCGTGCTTTTAATGATAGGTGATTGGGTTCAATTGGGCTCACACTGCACTTTAGGTTCCGGGCCGGAGCACGCTTATGCTGCCTTCACGTGCTGTCGAAATGATCGTGAATACAAGTTTCCTAATCAAAAATTTAATATGAACTGCTGTCAATGCTATTCTTTATTAGTTTTCAACAACTACATCACCTTGTCTTGTCCTTAAAGTAGTGCCTAATTATGAACAATAATTTTAAGCATATTGTATGTATTATAAACAATAAGCATGTATTTGACCGAAATTCCAGACTCGTCAGTAAGCTGACTATCTGGGGCGGTGAATGTTTATGGTTATCAACCAATGTAATCACTTGAATGTGACAAGCCCATAATCAGTCATAAGTGGGAAATATTAAGTTTCTGATAGCATGTGAAGGCAGCATCAGTCATTATGATGTGTACCACACTCGAGAACCATGCTCTAGCCCACCTCTTCCAAACGGGCCAGGGACGGCTAAACGAACATAGAGCGATTACACTAGTCAAATTAACTAGGCTTTGGGGGTCAAACGTGCTCAGGCATGGTTCAAAACCCCTAGTGTGAGTACACCCTTGCTGTGCGCGTCAGAGTATATGAGCAGAGCGGTGTGATTTTGACTGGAGCGAGGAGCGGATTATTTTAAAAGTCGGAGCATTGTGGTTTTCACTCGCTCCAAGAGCGCTCTATCACGAGTACAATTCATGCCAACGGCCCGTAATATAACTGCACATTTAGCAAGAATTCACGTTAAACTTATTTAGCTAGCTTAATAGAGAAGGATCACTCAAATCAGAAAGAATAGGAAGGCTATGATGACGACATTGAGCGGGAACTTATAGTTCTCAAGGAATTTGTTTGTTCCTTCTAGATACTGAATATTTTCAGGTGAAAGCATGATTTAAACAGGTACAACACTTATTCACATGCAATCACTCTCTCAATAATGCATTCAAACAAATGTAATCTTACAGTGCTACTTCATCTGTATCTGATTTCGAGTGAGAAGAAATATATAAGAAATGCAGCGATCCGTAGGTAAAATAACTGACGAAAACGTATCGTTATTTTCATCACAAATATCTGCACTGCAAAAAAGCAGCAATTATACTTTTTAATGCTGACAACCATGTAATTAGCCTGGCATGAGATAGGAAAAATTTTGCACACCAATAAGCGCTCCAATAAGCCACTTTGAAACTCTCCTGTTAATAATTTTTTTTTCTTTTAATATACGTTATGAACAGAACTGTGATATTTCAAACATACTGAAATACTTTAGCGTGCGTGCGCTCAGATTTGATCTTAGAGTGCGAGTACGCTTAAATCCATGGCTCGTATTTGTAAAAACTCTCTTTGGCGTGGAAAAGTGTTTAGCGTCACGTCAGGGTCTGAGCAGATGTACGCACTTTTTCTTGTTCGAGTGCTGCAGGTTTTTGAAAATGTAAGCAGGTCTTGCAGCTCGCTGTTCTAAATGAAAGGATTTGGACGATGACTGGTGATCTTTTACATGTTAATGACATTAATTAGGAGTCGTTTACAAGGCAGAGAGCTGAAACCATTCATTTGCACACAAGTTCAAGATTCATAGATTTCACATCTGAAAGAGGCATACATGCGTTTTCTGTACATACGTTCATTTTATGAATCACACGTACGCATATTTGAGAGATGATCATAAGATCAGTTTTAAGATGGTTTCTGCGCAAGATTTTATAAATGAGGCCCCTGCAGCGGAGTGATTATTAAATGCTCGGAGCGCGGAGGGGAAATTGTTGCCGCTCACATACTCTGGTGCGCATGCTTCGGATGTGTGCGCTCAGAAAACCATATATCAGAAGTTTAAACTGACATGGTTTTAAAACACACGGCAATACGTTTTCAGCACAGTTGACATGATAATCAAAACCAAACAGTGTTGCCAAACCCCTTCCTCAGAAAATCTCTAGAACCACCCTCAAAAGTCTCCATTTTTGACAAAAAGTCGCCAAATACGAAAAGGTAAATTTGGTAAAGGTAAAGGAAAGTAAATATATATATATACTTTACAAATTATGACAGTATAAAAAATATAACAAAAGATTAAGTATAACAAAAAATTCTGAAGTGAAATTAGGAAATGCTTGTGATCTGCAAGCACTGTCATGTGGTGAATTTGGCCAATGGTGAAACAGCTAAATTTGGCGACAAAATCCCCAGATTGGCAACACTGAAACCAAACAGATGTTTTTTGGCAGAGTATCTGAGGTAGGAGCTGTAAAGGCGCAGCTCTATTCTGGAAAAGGGGGCGGAGAGTAGCAGCTCATTTGCATTTAAAGAGACATGCACGAAAACAACGCGTTTCTGCTTCCACTCAAAACAGGCATTTTCAAAATGATATAATAAATGATCTGTGGGGTATTTTGAGCTGAAACTTCATAGAAACATTGTGGGGACACTTGAGACATATTACATCATAGATGCCCTTTAACTCCTATCATAGCACAGAAACTATGCTTTTTAAGTTGAATCTCTATTCTAATGCTATTTGTATTTGATCTTTAATAGACCAAAACTTTTCCTAAAGAGCTTGAAAATTATGCTGGCATTTGTGGACAAGAATTAGCAGAGTTTACTTCCTGTCTATCTGACCAGTATTTGCTCCTCTGCTTCTCTCCTTGTATATACGCTTCCCTTGAAAGATGTCGTCATTATCGCTGTTATGCTGATGATGCTCTATAATTCTTCACAACCTGACAAGATGGCACAACTCTAAAAAATTTTTTTTAAAGAAAGGGTATTTTAAAAAATAACAAAAAAATAAAAAACAATTTTCTTGTATGAAATTCTGACAAGCCAAAATAACAACAACCAAAAAACTTGATGAAGGGGTGTACCATTGTTATTTTTCACAATTAAGAACCTGGTTGTTGCATTCATATATGTATATATATATATATATATATTAATAATCATAGCCATCTTCCACCTAATGCGAATTTTAATAATACCTGACAAAATGAACAAGAAATTGTATGGTTAATATTAATGTAACTGACAGTGTAAAAGGAAATATGGGACATCTGACCTCCATCCTAAAATGAGTTTGACAGCCCTATTATAAGCAATAAACAGCATCATATATGAGCTCGTCTCAGTCTCTCTGTAAAAATCCACCTGTTCCTAGAAGTCCATTCAAAGTTTGTTCCTCACATTTCTGTTGTGGGTCTTATGGTGTGTTCAAGTCATGTCGGATAGATCGTATTTACGAGTTGAACGCACATGAACGCCACCACAAAGTCGTTATTACGAGTGGGAAACGTAAAGTTACTGGTCACTGACTGTATTATTTGCTCACCAAAGATCTATGAAAGACAAAGATAAACAGCATACAGTGACTCTACCAGGAGAAATGTTTTATTATTTTATAAGTAGGCTGGTGTTTCTGAAACATGACTATTTATTGCTTGTTGTAATGATCATTTACTGCTATTTACATTCAGATATGTTAATATATTAGTATGGCACTTTTGATGATAGCAGAAAAATCACTTACAAATAAAACAAATGTCAAGTTAAAAACTGAAGTGTCGTTGTTTGCTTCAAGCAAATACTGGGTTTAATGTTACATAAAATAAGTTTTTTTTTTCTGTAGAGCTGGACATTTTAATAAGGATCAAATGAGTGAGTTCAGCTTTGAGAATGAAAACCAACCTGTTTGTTCCTCAGTATCTTCATGTTTGACTCTGAATGTTTCTTCAATCTTCATGTCTTCACTCTCCTCTTTAATAAACTCCATCTTTGTTTGTTCCTCAGTATCTTCATGTTTGACTCTGAATGTTTCTTCAATCTTCATGTCTTCACTCTCCTCTTTAATAAACACCATCTTTATAATAGCGAGTCAACGTGGAGTTTTTCTGTGTGTTTGGACACTTTGTCCTGTTTGAGATTAATTAACAGAGAAAATTAAATGCAAACTAAATCTCTGGGTGCGTCTCAATCAGCTCACTAGTTCAGTAGTCAGCACACTTGTGAGGGAGTCAGTCAGAGAGAGAGTTAATTAAATTACCTACAAAAAAACAATCAAAACTAGCACTCAAATAACAAAGGGACACAAATTATATAGAAGGTTCATATTTGTAGATTAAGATTGCTATTTAGTATTTGCTAATTTGTAGGGACTGCAGTGTCACTAGATAAAGCATTAAAGTGTTACATTGGCTAACAAATTAATTTCACGGTTTTATATACAATTGTCTAAACGAGTTGTATCGATTTAAACACTTTAAATGAGCACACACCTTTCTTCAGCAGAACCACAGATGTAGGAGCGCGCGGCGCAACCTAATGACGTCACATCGACACACCAAAATAAAAGTCTTGTTCGCTAAAATCAATATAATTTTACATTAGAAAAAATTATTTAATTAAAATGGTTTAAATCGTTTCTTCTAAAATGTTAATGCCATTTTCATTTTCCCAGATTATCTTTATTCAAACTGGCAGGCAGTATAATAATCTGTGCTAAAATGTGATTGTAATATAAAAAAGTTATTTATTAGATGTCAGATTTCAGTTACTGCAAATTGATTTACAAACATCATTTAACTTCCCATATCAGCCCTCTACGAATAACAAATGCACTGAAAATCAACTAATTTTGTCTTCTAAAGGGATTGGATGGAAAGAATAAAATGGTCTGTCTTTGATCTAATTTTAACGGCAATGTTCTTTTATATGAAATTTGTTTAAAATACAGTTTTGCAGTATAAAGGAATATGGTTCATTGATTATTACCTTTTTAGTTTCTTTAATTGGCAAAAAATGACAATATATTCAGTTGTTAGAGTAAACCGTTCAGTTAATAAATACAAGATACAATACCCAGTTTATTAAAAACTCGAACTCTAGAAGTACATCCATCAGAAAAAAAAAGTATATGTTATGTTATATTAGTGTTAAGATTTTAGTGAAGTTAACGAAGGGCATCTGGTGTAAAACGTGCGGATCACACCGCTGTGGTGACCCCTGATAAAGAGAACAAGCTGAAAGAGAGAGAGAGTTTAGTGAAGTAAAAATACCTGCAATATGCAGTTACACCTGTAAGAAACTGAATGAGTGAAGATCAGGAGACCGAGTGACTCTTCAGCAGGTTCTTGAAGCAGTGAATCACTGTACTTTTATACAGATTCCAGGAGGCTGTTCTCGTGAACGAGCGTCCAAAAGTGAGTAGAGACGAAAATGTGGAATAAAGTCGTTATTTTTGTTTTCTTTGCGCAATAAAGTATTCTCATAGCTTTGTAAAATTACAGTTGAACCACTGATGCCACACGGACTACTTCGTCGATTATCTTGATACTTTTCTGGGTCTTGAACGTGGTAGTTACCTTGCTGTCTATGGGAGGGTCTGAGAGCTCTCAGATTTCATTAAAATATCTTAATTTGTGTTCCGAAGATGAACGAAGGTCTTACGGGTTTCGAACAACACGAGGGTTAGTAATTAATGACAGAATTTTCATTTTTGGGCATTTATTTTTATTCTCCCCTATACATGTTTATCAAATTCAAATTCAAATGAGCTTTATTGGCATGACTTGCACAGTATTGCCAAAGCATTGTCCATTACATGAATAAGGAATAAACAATTATATAATACATAAACAAAACAAGAATAGATATTTAAAACAATTAAGTATATACGTACATGTATACTTTCTTTCCTTTTTTTTCTACAAACAAGAAACAAGAAAAATATTTAAGACATTGTGCAGCAAGAAATGATCTTGCTTCAGTTTTGTCCGACAGGCTGATACATATCTTGCTGCTGTTGTGATCATTTTGGAATTTTTCCCTAAAATGTGACTTAATGTTTCTGCATTTGGTAATGCCATAAAATTTGGTTTAATTTGTTGGAATTTGGGGAAATATGCAGCTCTAATGTTGTGATAGTAATCACAGTGCAATAAGAAATGTTCCTCTGTTTCTACCTCTTTCTGCGAGCACAGTGAACATAGTCTCTGTTCACGTGGCTGCCATCTTTGTCCGTGCTGTCCTCTCTCTATAGCTAGACAGTGATCTCTCAGTCTGTATTTTGTAAGTGTCTTTCTTAATTTGTGATCTTTTACACAGCTCAGGTATTCTGCTGGTTTGTAGTCTCTTTTTAGGTCTTGTAACTGTGTGATTTGGTTGGGCCGGATTGTGCTGTGCTGGGTGGGTGTAGTTTGAGTACCAGCTCAAATAAACCAACATGTTTATCTATCTCCTTTACTGAACTGGAGCGCCCTCTAGTGTCTAGGTGGGTCCCACTACATCCCCTCCTTTAAGGCTCAATAACCATCTCAACAACATATAACACTGAACTTTCTTTCCTAAGCTGAAAGCCAGGGTAGACTACCTGGACATTCCTGACTCTGCTGAAGGGATTATTCTGCCCTCTTCTTGACAGCAGGTCTTTCTATGCTAATATTGAACTCATAAGTCCAGTCCTTCTGGTGGACGGGAAATCCTACCCGACCTTGTCACTGTTCCATTGACAACTTGCTGTGATGGTTCTGGAAGGACTGTAAGATGAGCTCTGTTCCTTCTCAGTGTTCCCATCTCAGTTTCTACCTGATGCTTCTCCCTGGACGTTCCAGTGGTCTTCGATGTCCTGATCCACACTTTCTGTCCAAGCATGATGACTGGTAGATCTTTTGCTCCGTGTCTCGATCTGAATGTGACTTCTTGTTTTTCTTTCAGTCTTCTGTCTTTCCTCCTGAACGTTTTCAAATCAGGCCATTTCGGTGCAAGAGATTTCTGTGTAGCTGGAACTGTTGATCTTATCCTCCTCCCCATCAAGAGTTCTGCTGGTGAGATTCCATGGCTCAGTGGAGTCGATCTGTATGCCATAAGAGCTCTCTGAGGGTCTTGAGTCTTTCTCAGCATTTGTTTCACTGTTCGCACCGCTCGCTCTGCCTCTCCGTTGCTCTGAGGGTACCGAGGACTGCTTGTGATGTGGTCAAAGTCATAGTCTCGAGCAAACTCGGCAAACTCACAAGATGCAAAATGTGGACCGTTATCGGTCACCAGTGTTTCAGGGATTCCAAACCTGGCAAAGATAACCTTCAACCTTTCCACTGTTGTTGCTGTTTTGAGTTTTGGCAGGTTCACAACCAGTGACCAGTTGTTTCCCTGGGATGTGCACGATGTTGTACTTGAATCTGAGCAGCCTCAGTCTGAACCGAAGAATTCTTGGAGGTAAGTCATCAAGTGGTCTATTGCCCAACAGAGATATTAGGGGTTTGTGGTCGGTATGTACCGTAAATTCCAATCCGAGTAGATATGCACTGAGTCGCTAACATGCCCACATTACCGCAAGAGCTTCTTTTTCAATTTGTGCATATCGTGTCTCTGTGGGTGTTAAGACTTCTTGAGATGTATACGACAGGCCTCCACTCACCGTTTTTCGGTTTCTGCATGAGCACCCCACCAAGACCATAGGATGAAGCATCGGTTGAAACTACAGTCTCGCTATTTGGACTACACTGTGCCAGTATAGTTGGTGAGCCGGGTTCTTTTTTTACTTTTTCGAATGCTTCTTTCTGCTGTGCATCCCATGTCCAGGTGCAATCATTCCTTAAAAGGTCTCTCAGTGGTTTTGTGAGAGTTGGCAGATGAGGTGAAAACTTCCCTTTTTTCAAAAAACCGTCTCACTTCTTCCACGTTTTGTGGCTCAGGCATGTTGAGAATAGCTTTGATCTTGTCCTCGTCTGCTTCGATCCCTTGGGCACTTATTGTATGGTCTAGGAATTTCACTCTCTCGACAAACACACACTTGTCATTTAGCATCAGTCCAGCTTTTTCAAACTTTTTCAGTATCTCACACAATCTCTCATTGTGTTCTTTCTCGTCTTTTCCAAACACTAGGATATCGTCTGCATGGTAAAGAGCTCCAGTCGTTCCCGCAATTATCTGTGAGATTCTGAGCTGGAAATGCTCTGGGGCTGAAGATATCCCAAAAGGAAGACGCCGGAAGCAGTATCTCCCAAAGGGTGTGATGAAAGTTGTATGTGGCTCGGAGTCTTTGTGCAAAGGTATTTGCCAGAACCCAGATGTGGCGTCTAGTTTCGAAAACACAGCTGCTCCCTCTAGCTGCGCTAAAGTATCATCCATAGCCGGCAGTGTGTGTCTCTCTCTACACACACATTCTCATTCAATCTAGTGAGATCGGCGCAAATCCTGATGTTGCCATTAGGTTTTGGCACGACGACCATTCCTGCACACCAGGCAGTAGGCTCTTCGATTCGTCGGATGACTCCCATTTCTTCCATCCTACAAAGTTCCAGTTTTACTTTCTCCACAAGTGGCAGGGGTACGCATCGTCGGGCTGATAGTGCATACGGAACAGCTCCTTCTGTCAGTTTAATCTTGTAGCTGCCCTCTAATTTCCCCGAGTCCTGAGAAGACTTTGGGGAACATCACTTTGTACTGCTCTCCAGGTTCATGTAAGTGGGCTACCTGCTGCAGTAACTGTAATCCTTGGATTGCTGGCAGTCCCAGCAAAGGCATCACTAAATCCATGACAACATGTATATCCTGCCGGATACTCTTTTTGTCCTTTTTCAGACATGCGCTGAATGTTCCCATCACTTTCAAAGGAGTACTGTTGGGGCCTAAGATTGTCTTTTTGGAGTCTTTAAGTTGGCCCTGTTTGTCTGCCGAATACATAGATGCTGGAATCGCCGTAACT